AATGGTAAGATGGGAAAGAAGGCGGAGCGAGCCTCAAACACCCTAAATGGCAGCCCGTGACGTTTCCACCTATACTCATGCTCGCCAAAGCCGTCGCTCGAAAATCCGCAGGCCAACCCCGCTGCAGAGACAACGCCCACAGGAGAGAGCATTCAGCGTCTCAGCCTGGGGGCCTCCTGCTTCTACCAGGAGTAACAGCATCAAGCGCTGTCCACATGCCCAGATCCAATCATTCGTTATGGTTTGCACTAGACCCTCCAAGAATGGTAACACACCGTCTCCCCCCTTAGGGTTGCTTCCTGCGCTAAGCCCTGTAATAGAATCCATCTGTCTTGGGTCCTCCACATAAATTCAAGGGTAGTGTGGAAACAAATGGAATGAGCCTAACACTCTGCGGGGTGGCACGCAGTACCTGGAAGTAGAGAGATGAACGAAAGGACAGCTGTTGAAGCCCGTGAGGCGTCGCATGAGTAAAAAAGAATTTTTTTCTCCAGCAAAAGAGCCTTGACCAGAACCAGAAGCTGCCCTGAGTCCCCAAAACACGCCAAAGTACCTAAGTCAACCGTAACAGCTTTCTACCTTTCTAGCGGGCCAGGCGTGCCATCAGCGAGTCTGCAGCTGTACCAAGAAGCCTGACGCTACAGTCTGTCGTACTTGGAGTGACGGCCATGATGAAGGGTGGCAACCCGCCCTCAAGGTTGAAAGTGATCTCCGTGTATCTCATAAGGTGGAAGTTGACAGTGTTCAGCTGGTCGTACAGCTGAACGAGCACCTGTGTAGGCAGTCCAGAGGACGAAAGGCGGCCCGGAGAACCAGATGAAGCTCCCTCCATGAGTTCGAAAAAAGCTGCAGTGACTGGCAGCAGACGAAACAGCAAAAGGCCCCAAAAGGGAACGCGAGCCACCAAGCAAACGGCGCACATCCCCTGAGCATCCTCTGGTGCAGATGGCTCCCACTGCAGACAAATTTGCACGCAGGATCACATACACACTTTCAGCTTACTCCTACCTACAGCTTCACAGAGCATTTGTCAGGCTGCAATATAGCAGTGAGCGTGCCGGCCCCCAGTGCGTCGCTATGCACCAGACAGGA